CCACCCATTCTCACCCCTTTGTCACAGTTTCTGCTCCTCAAGATTTCAAAGTGAGGAAGGCACTTCACAGTGATGATCTTTGAGGGAAGGAAATCCTAGAGTCTGTCAGAAATCAATGAACTCCCCAAGAATATGGTTTTTACTTTGGTACACTTACCTTTTGCCAAGTTGTGTCTGTTATGCTAGGATTCACATTAGTAGACAGCAGGTAGGAGGGAAAAGAAACTCATCCACCACTTTGGAATAGATTTCTTACCTGCCTCACTACAGATAAGGGCCGTTGTTGATCTCATTAGGGTGGTTTAATTAGCAGAGCAAACAGATTCCTACGTTGGAGAAAGGCTAAATGGCTTTTGTGCTTGACCTAGAGAAATTACCTAGACAACCAGTACTTAAAGTTTCTCTGTCTCCTAAATGAGCCTGGTCAATGCTGTGCCATCTAAACGAGTGTGTCTGCTATGGTTTGGGAACTACTACTCCAAAGATAAAGATTGTAGGGAGCTTTTGTAAACATAAATTTCACTTGTCTCTCATTCCCTACAATGGGGTAAACACAGCCTGTGAAAAATATTGTGAGATTCAAGCAAACTGTATACTCTCTCAGTAAATGAATGTTAGTAATTTGAGGAAAGTATAATATTGCCATAATAAAGAATGCTTCATGACAAAATCATTTGGTTATTGCTCAAATGAGGAAACAGCACTAATTACAACACTTTTTTTTTACTCTTCTGTAGCAAGCAGGATTCTCTGGTTGCAAACATAAGAAGCCAACTCTATAGCTTACGGAGAAAAATTGTGGAAGGTCCTGGGGGCGGCTCATAGGCAGGAAAGGTAAGATGATAAGGAAGCTGATAGAGACAGGAAACACTTAACTCTGGGGACCTGGGGCGTAGGAACCGACAGGTGTCTCTCCTAAAGGGCAGTTGAATAAAATGAGTTCCTTATCGAGTCAAGTGACAGCTTTTATAAATGGTGACCAGGGAGGAATGAGCCAGCATGAAAAAGAGTGATGTCTAAGAGGCAAACATGTGCTTTAGAACTCCCAATCAATATGCACATGCCTTATTTAATGTTGATCCCTTGATGAATTACACCAGTGTGAAACTGGAAACAGCCCAGCAAATATTCTACCTAAAGAACATACCTTAAAGAATGACAGTATGAGGAATCATATTTTTTTAAACCTGACTATTCTACCTTGACATCCGTCAAAGTAATGAAAAAATATGGGTTAAATTGTGCAATGATAAATTTAATAAGGCTGACAAGCCAAAAGAGGTCATGGAAGGGAAGGGCAATGAGAATAGGAAGGAAATCTACCCTTTAAGTGGAAAAATAAGTAAAACTTGATCTAGGGAGGATTTATAATGAACTGAAAATTAGTTCCTTTCAATATGTGTTAAATGTTCTTAAAATAAATACCCTTTATAGCACCATGAGGATACCCAGCCACAGTCATTGGAAAATTTTATTGAACTGCTTTTTAGTTTAACAGAATTTTCAGACAATAATTCAGATGATACTTTAGCTTTAATTGTTTCAGAACCAAATCCATGTGTCTTGATGATGTAATGATAGAGTTTATAAGAGTAATTACATGAGATAAAGTATGTCCTTTCCCTAGCACCACAATAAACTAGAGAGAGTAGTTTTAATTTGGGAGCCTGGTGTTCAATCTCACAATTGTTATTGATGTAATTTTGGCAGCATTTGAACCTTTTTAATTCTCAATCCCATCATATGAAAGGGGACTAGTAATGTATCTTTAGTACTGTCTACCTCACAAGATTGTGAAGTACATCAAGCAAAATGATTGGTGGTGAAATCATTTTGCCAACTTTACAGCACCCTATAAATTAATTGAAGGATTGATTATATTTATGTTGACATGCTATTCAACTATAAATTTCATGGAAATGTTGTGAAGCTTTAGATTTCTTGACCAGAGGTCTTAAAGGGAGTATTCATAGAATTTATATTCATCACAACCATTTGGAACAGTATTTCGAAAACCAAAACAACTTTTGTAAAGAGTTAATGCCAGTGTGCTAAGTTTATATTATAACCCTTAAAGGAAGTAATATATGTCTGTAATGTGTCCATCCCCATAAATGATTTCTTTTTTAAGACTGTGTGAAACAGCATTAAAAATTAAGCTGCGGTTATGACACCACCTTTGACATGAAAGAGTATGAACATAATTAATATTGCATACAAGTATCTCCAAGTATTGGATAGCAAGCTCACTGCTTAATTGTTCTGAAAATGATAGGGTATGTTCCCTTTAGGCTACATTACCATGATTTTATTATTTGCCCTTTAATAGAAATCATACTGTATTTTTAGTCTATGAAAACAGTGTCTGTGGGAACCATGTCTCCACCCAGGTCTTGGCAGTAGAAACTGGTGTCTCAGATCAAGACTATTTACTGGTCCCCATGGCAACAATGAGCTTTATCTTGCACAAATCCTAATATCATAAGAACCCAATGGTTCTTTAGTAGAGTATCTCGACCCTTAAGTAACAATCTTGATGTGAGCTATAAATAATTTAAATAGAACCATTTTTAATAAAATATTGGCATAAAGCTAGAAAGTCTTATATAGCCTCTTCACCAGATTTTCATTTGGGAATAAACCCTCTGCCTTTTCTGAGTAAAGACACTGGGGCCTTCCATAGAAGTGACTGGGTTAAAGTCCTGCTTTTTGTTACCTGACAGAGCAGTAAGTGGGGGTGCAACAGTGTTGGGGCTGGAACATGTAGCAACACTCTATGTAGACCGCTGCCCATGTGAATGGGTTGCCTAAGTTTGGGACCACTATCCTTTTGTTTCCCAGGCTTGCAACAAGAAATGAAATCCCTAAAAGTTTCTACAGTGAGACTTGGTCACTTTCCAGGTTGCTAGATGTGGTATAGCACACTGGTTGAGTCTAAATGACAGCATGAAAAGATCGAGTTATACCCATACATTGCTCTGGAGTCCATAGAAGAAAAAATGCTGTATGGGTAACAACACATTGTATTATTCTTTTGCCTCCTGGTCAGATCTGACAGTTGTTAAGCCTACAGGATTGCACATACATTTTTTATAAAGTCTATGTTCCACAGAAGGTACTTCCTTCCATGCAACTACATTATAATTTTTGTTGGAGTGTGTAGGTGGTGGTACTGATATTCTACTTCCTTTGACCGTTTCTTTTCCAAAGTTTCAAAGGCATTAACACTCAGCAGGAATAATTGGAATACTTTATATACTTTAGCACGGTTCCCTTGTAGAGTCCCTTGTATGAGCTGTAACTGGCAGTGCCATTCATTGATTTTTTTAAAGACATTTAACATTTCTATGCATTTTAACACCCTCTTTTGGTAATGAAAGCTTTGTGGACCAACTCTTTCTCTGTTCTCTCTTGAAAGCCTGCTGTTCTTTCTCATTTTTAAGTGCTTCATGAACAAATAAAGTAACTTGGCATTGTCGCTAAGAGGAGTATTTCAATACTCTGACCCACTGATGTTGATCTGAATAATTTGCCTCTGCCCTTTGCAATATAAAGGCAACCGGATGACAAAGAGCGTTGTACATCTAAGCAGATGAGAACAGTTCCAAAAACGGTTGAGCCTGCCCAGGCTTTAGCTTGCCTCCCAAGGTTCTAAAATGAGTGGCTTCTTCCCTCCCAGCCCCCGCCTCCCCCCTTCACTGAAACCATCTAGTGAGAGTGCTAGTTGGGAAGGATTAGGTGAAGAAAGCAAATGAATTTTTATCTCACCCAAGTGAAAAACTTCATCTTATTCATGTTTGTATTCCGTGTGGCAACTGACTCCATCGGTGCCTTGTACAGTTATAGGAGTCAAAAAAGAAAAAGAAAAAAGGACAGATTTCCGAATCATCAAATGGCCTTTCTTGTAATATAAAGAGGAGGGAGGTTTTTATTTTTATTTTTTAAGTTATAGTCAGAAGGAAACTCTAAGCAAAGCACAAAGCATGAGTTTGGGAAACATTGCTGACGTAGTCATGTGTCTGCCTTCATGTATCTGTGACAGGTGTGTGTGATACATGAAATATGGCTATAAAAGAAGAAGGCTTAAAACACATATTTGGACAATATATTTGCTTTCCAGTGAAGTTTAATTAAATAAGTTATGTTAAAGTGCTTTGCAAACACCTAAAGTGGTATCCAAATATAAAATGCTGCAATTATAGATTGTTCAACAGTATTTAATGAGCAGCTTCTATGATCTACGTCAATCAAATAATAACACTAACAAAGGGCTGGGTGACTCAGTTGATTGGAGTGTAATCCCACACACCTAAAGGTTACAGGTTCAATTCCAGGTCAGCACATATACCTAGGTTTTGGGTTCAATCCCTGGTCGGGGTACATACGGGAAGCAACCAATTGAGGTTTCTCTTTCTCTCAATCTCTCTCTCTCTCTGAAAATCAATAAACATATCCTTGGATAAGGATTAAAATAAATAAATAATAATAATTACATTGTAGGGACCAGGATAAAAGTAATGACTTTGCCCACAGCTATACAACTACAGAAAAGGGAGAACAACTGATATAAAAATAGATGACAGAGGCAATAGGGGCAATGCATATATGCATATACATTCTTTGGTTAATTTCTTCTCCCTGTCTCCCCTTCCCTCTGACATTTGACAGTCTGTTCCATGTTTCCATGCCTCCGGTTCTATTTTATTCTTCAGTTTATTGTGTTCATTAGATTCCACATATAAGTGAGATCATGTGATACTTGTCTTTCTCTGACTGGCTTATTTCACTTAGCATAATACTCTTCAGGTCCATCCATGCTGTCTCAGAGATAATAGATACTTCTTTTTTACAACTTCATAGTATTCCCGAAGGCCTAAGGTGGGGTAGGAACCGGGTGGTGGGTGGCAAGTGGGGGGGGAATAAAAGAGGGACATATGCATTACTCTTAATAATAAAAATAAATAAGTAAATAAAATAGATGGCACACTGTAGAGGCAATGTATATTAAAGACCATTTAATGATGAGGCATTCTTACCTACCCAAGATACAGTGGAGCTTTGAAATATACTTTTTATTTCTGAAAGAGCCATTTTATCATTGTATTTTCAAGTGACAGCTCAGAAGCTGTCATTAAGAATAAAAATAAATTGAAGAATTGTTTCCTTCTCCACAGACAGTATTGCAATCTATGGGTACAGTGCAAATGTGGCAGCAGAAAGACATGCAACAAGACAGCTTCTCAGTAACTTTACCCCTGAAGTCTCTATTGATTGTGTTTGCACTTATTCTCAGCTTCACTGTCTCACAGTTGGACAATGCCGCCCATTCAGAATAAACCTTCAGTTCTTGATTGCTCTGTATCAGGTTGCTGCCATTTCCAGCTGTTTCGTGATCAGAACATATTGCTTTCAAACTTGTCTCTCTTAGTCCTCGAAGCAAATGACAAGCACAGAAATACTTTGAAGCATCTTACACTTACCAGCGTTGAGTCTGTAACAAATAGAAAACAAATCATGACTAATGTTGTTATTGAAAGGTTGTAGTTTCCATTTACCTATGTTTGTGGACAAGACATTTGTTGAGTTTTTAGGACCAGAGATTTTCTCCTTCCATGATGGTTAAAATTTTACATGCGGGGTGAAAAAACTGAAGGAAAGCAGCGATTTACTGTACTTGTTTCCTGCAAAAAGAAATCTCATTAAATAGCTTGTAGATAGTTCTAAGCTATCTTAAATAAGACAAGCTCTTGTTTGTTAAAATATAGATCTTCGTGTAATGTCTGTGCATTTTTCTAAATACCCGCTCTGCCTTATTTCTGTGTTAATGAATGGCTTAGATGACACATGTAACAATTTATGAGCATAGACAGTTTTAATGAATCTCTAGAATGGTTAGTTCCTAAGAAATGTTTAGTAACAAGTAATTTTTGCCGAGTCTCTTGATTTTTCTTTGGAACCAATGACCAGCTGTGTGTGGTAAATGCTCCCCTGCTTTTTCAGCTTCTCCATCATCACTCAATTCTCCCGTTAGTGTCAACCTTAATGACCTTATTCAGTCTGGTTCCAACTAGCTTGACAGGATGCCTCTTCATCCATCAGGGCATTTCAACCCCCAATCCCAAATGTCCCCTGGGTTCCAGCTAGGATATGGAGAGAGAGGGTACAGCATTCCAAGTTTTTCTCTCTATTCTGTTGTCCAACAATTGTAATCAAAATGCCTTGAAATTGCTTACTCCTATTTCAGCTCTTTTCTTCAAACTCTGCCTAGTGTAACCAAAACAGAAAATATTCTTTATTGTACTTTATTTTAGCATTAATGTTTCTGCCTGTTCTATAGAGATAAGCCCTTAGATATGATCATGCTTAACTAGGCTGTGTACATAGGAAGCTAGAATAAACTTTAAATGATACACTATTATAATGAGTAAAGCCTTTTAAACACGGATTTATTTTTTATAGTCAATGTTTGGTGACAGTCTTCATAACTGCAACATGTGAGTAAATTAAGGGAAATACCAGTTCACCAAAATCTCTTTAGAAATGTATTTATTTAGGAATGTCACACATCATTAGGTACTATAAACAGATTACAAAGTACAAATTAGGCTTGGTTCCTGAAGGTAGGAATATTCTAATCTACTTTAAAAGGAGAATCATCAGTCTTAATAGAAAGCAAAAATAACTGAATACTGTTTTGTTTTGCTTTGCTTTTTAAGTGATATATATAACTAAATGATTGAACAGTAACTCAGTACTACCCCCACCCTTCTTGCTTACACTTAGAGGAAGGACCTTGCATGCCATATGAGTATCCACAGTGGGCACCTATGATGGGCTAGAGACCTTGAAGCCCAGGAGGAATTTGAGACCAGTACTTTGGGCTTTCTATTCTGTTGTTCAAGGGCTCATATGTAGAAACTTGAATGATCTTGCAAATTTAAATATATATTTCTCAAAGGACATGAGTTTGGATAGAAATGGAAGCAAGGGAACCTGTCATTTGCAAGGACACAGAAAAACAAAATCAAACTCTGTAAAGAGAGCAAAAATGAAATGATTTACCCAAGATCATCTCCTTGGATACCACCAGTTCAGTTAGAGCCAAATTTCCAAGGATGATTTCAAAGCACCAGATCATGTAATCTGTTATACAAGGATATAGAACACAAATAAACAAACCCAAAATCAAAATGCCGAGCCTGCCACCTGAGGTCCTTTGGGTTTCCATTATCTCCATCAATTACCCTAACCTTCAACCAAAGTGGACTCCTCAAATTAGTCAAACAGATTCTGTACCATACTGCTTCTCTGCTGTTACTCAAGCTCTTCTTTTCAACTGGAATTCCTGCCTTCTCATTTACCATTTATTCACGCAGGAACTCAGGACATATATACTTGTTGCTTGATCTGTGCCAATATCTGTGCCTGTCTCAATTCTATTGCAGCTTCAAGAGTGAGAAATCTAATTCAAAACCATATGATTATTCCATGAAATCTTGTTTTATCTTTCTGATCAAGAGCTTAACAATCTATCCATTAAGTCATTTATTCAATGAAATAGTATATTGAACGCCTAGTGTATGCTAAGTCTTTTTTGTTTTTGTTGTTTGTTAATTCTCACTTGAGGACTGTGTTGTAGAGAGAATGGAAGGGAGAGATGGAAGGGGAGGGAGAGAAAAATAGAGAAACATCAATTGGTTGCTTCCCCAATGTATCCCAACCAGGGGTTGGGGATTGAACCTGCAACCAAGGTATGTGACCTTGACCCAGAATTGAACCTGAGTCTCTTCGGTGCACAGGCCAACGATATAACCACCGAACAACACTAGCCAGGGCAAGCATGCTAAGTCTTAACAATTCAAGTACACATGAAATCTGTTCCCTGACTTTATGGAACTTGAAATCTAATTGAAAACTGAAACAATAAAGTAGTAATTTCCCTACAATTATAGAATGGAATGGCAGGATTGTGCAAATTGTGCTTCAAAAACCTAAATCATACCAGAAGAGTGATCATCTTCCTGGAGGAGAGAACAACTGATGTAAGCCTAAAAATTCAAGGATAATTATCTAACTAAAGAAGAAGAAAATGAAGGATATTCTAGGCAGGATAAAAAGACATAGGGGAAATAGCATGAGTGTGAGGAAAACCAAGGTTTTCTGTGTGGTCAGATTGCACATGCAGTGCGAGTCATTTGTAGTGGCTTCTATGAAGCCATTTGGTGAGTAAGTGACAAGAGATGAGATTAAAATGTCACCAGGAAGTAGATCTTGAAACATTTCTGAGAACTAAGTTAAAATTTTTATATTTTACCCTAAATGGTTTTGGAAAGTATTGAAAGTGCTGAACAGGGAATGGCAAAATTGGAGTTTGGTTTTGAATGGCACCCAAATACTTAAGGCAGAAATTTACAAGGCAGTCATGTTATCACCCTCTCTTGCAATCTCTCACATTTAATCCACCAAGTCTCAGATTTCACCGTTAAATATATCTGAGCTCCATCTCTACTTCTTTTCCCTCTGCTGCAACAATCTTAAACCAGAATCAACCAAGATGTCTTCAAGAATATTTTATGAATATGTTAACTGGTCTCTTATCCCTTTCATTTACACACAATAGCATGAATGATCTTCTAAAACTGTACATCTGATCACACTGTACTTCTCCTTAAAATGTTTTATTGACAGGATCCTAAAAAAGATGATTAACGAAGATCCTTCTGAGGACTTTATATCTGAGGTGAAACCCACCAGATTGATAGAAGCTAGCTATTCAAAGAACTAGAGGAAAATCAGAACGACATCACTAATACATTGAAAAGGCAACCCAAGGAGTGACAGAAGATATTTACAGAACAGGGCTTAGATACACCATTAAAATAAAACAATAATAAAAGGCACAAGTGGCAGTCCCTCCATAATAGAGAAGTGAGGAATTGAAAAGGCAACCCAAGGAGTGACAGAAGATATTTACAGAACAGGGCTTAGATACACCATTAAAATAAAACAATAATAAAAGGCACAAGTGGCAGTCCCTCCATAATAGAGAAGTGAGGAATGACATGTAACACCAATCAAGTCCTGCTATGGGCAGAATGTTTGTATCTGCCCCATATCCATATGTTGTAGCCTTAATCGCTAATATGATGGTATTTGGATATGGTGGGGCCTTATGGGGGGTAATTAAGTTTAGGCGAGATCATGAGGATGGAGTCCCCATCATGAGATTGGTTCCATTATAGGAGGCTGAAGAGACCAAGCACTCACTCTCTGTCACATGAGTATAGAGCAAGAAGGTAACTATCTGAAAACCAGGAAGAGGGCCTTCACCAAGAATGCAACTATGATCTCGGATTTCCAACCTCCAGGACTCCTTAACTTCCATAAACATTTGTTGTTTAAGTCACCCAGTTATGGTTTCTGTTGATGCAGCCTAAATTAGACAAGTCTTAAAGAACAGAGCAAGATCCCAATCTGAATTTATGTATATAACAGTAACCAAGACGCCCAATCTTAATAAAAGGATGAGGTACAGACAGAAATGATGCCCAATGTTTGGTAGGCATTTGTCATCAGTTGGTGATTTCAGTTTGATTAAAATATATAAAGATCAAAGTGGGGCTGCAGTTTTAAGAAAGGCCAGGCAGAATACCTGCCAGCTGGTTCCTACTGAAGACCAGAGATACAAGCAGCACCAGTGGGCAGACTGAGTGGCTCAGTGTTTTGAATTTGTGATGCTTTCATCTGAGAATGCCACAAAAATTTAAGAGTTCCATTTTCTTTCAGACACTTCGGTACTTGATCATACAGTAGAAAAAAGTTACTTCAAAGTTCCACTAGCTAGTATGCTTCTGAGACAGAAGACAATATTTTTTATGAAAAATCAATGCAAGTGTGTTGAAAATGTGATGTTTTATCAGAATCAGGGCAGACAGTCTTGGAAGACCGGATCACCATTTCACATGTTATGTAAGAGGCTACATTGTAGACTCCTCATATTAATATTCGCCTCATGATCCAATACTTCATTTGCCAAATTTTGCCCTGTTCCTGGCTCCAATCCTCATGTTTTTAATGATAATTTGCAGGCGTTCCTGACCTTGGCTGTCTCTAAGAACAATAGATAAGGCAATTTGTTCAGCCCTGCAAAACAAAGTAGTGGTCATGCAGACATCAATTTTTGTAGAAACACAACAGCAAAGAGAAAGATATGATTGAAAGTCATGCAGTCAGTCTAAGGGTGAATAAATAGACAGAAAACACAGTGTTTAACAAGAAGGAGAAATTAAAAACAGAAGAAGAATCAAACAGGGAGTTTGGTATTTTATCTTCATGAATGTTAATATTCACCAGGGACACCAGGGGCAGGGGGTGCCAGCTCTCTACTCTATATTTGGATTTTTTAAGAGTCTAAGTCACGTCAGAAAATTACTAGCCATGGAATTATATTAAACTCATACAGCTTTGCCAGTAGAGCTATCTCTTTTCATT